GAGAGTGAACGTACGCACGGAGACACAGACGGCTCGCGGGTGGCGAGAGTGAATGCCGGCGCGGAGAGCGGTCAACATCGGTCCAACGTCGCTCCAATATCGGTCCAACGTAACGGTTGACCCTGCTTGGTGTAGTCAGACAGGAGAGGATCTGATCCCTAATAGAACCCCACCCCGCATAATGCGACTGGCATCCCACTCATATCCATCATAACCAATTCCACCTCAATCCTACCTGGAAATACATCTCATTCACAACAACTACCACTGTTCCCAGGAAGAATTTTTCAAACGGTGAAACCAGAGGGAGAGTGTATCAGCATTCATTCGTGTATCAAGATTCAACAGCAACCAATTTATTTACGCGAAAATTCTGTGCAACTCCCCCACACTTCCCAAATTTGGTGAAAGCTCCCAAAAATTTCTGAATCAATTTCTTGGAAATTTCTGAATTTCTCCGGAAGGACCGTATTCCTATTCGGGCTTTCTGCTGGACCCTTCTGAAAATTCCTCCTGTAGCCAACAAGGACGGCCCTTCACTCTCTTCCATCGGTCAAAAGATCCTCAACATTTCCTAATCTAGGCTATATTACTTTTTTCAACTACATAGCCTCTGTCTCTGCTGAGCAGCGAACCACTTCGCTTCTGCATAGTAGTTACGATATCGCTGAAATGTTTACCGTTCTTAGGTTGCTCCGAGCCAATAAGCCAATGAGGCTACCCTCGATTTCGGAAGACGAGAAGAAAATCGAGTGCAGACCACACACCATAAGACGACGGCCAAGGAAAAAAGCCGCTTTTCTCTTGGCCGTCGTCTCTTATGATGTGTGGTCTGCACTCGATTTTCTTCTCGTCTTCCGAAATAGAGTATACGTTCAGGAAACCGATCGCCGCACGTTCGCGATCTTTGGCCGAGTTCGCGAAGGTTGCGAATGGGAGGTGGGCTGATGTGTGCTAGACTAATCGAATTTCTTCTAGCTAAATGAGAACCAATTCTCATGTATACTACAAAGGGTTGGATCTCGAATCAACGCCGTAGAAAGCGGCGCTCATGTCGTTAGGGGGGGGGGCGGTGGGGGAGACACTCAAGTGAGTAAGTCATTCGCAGCGGGTGGGCTGTAATGTTTAACTCGCTAAATTCGTAAATGTGGCAGAAGTTTCCCTGTGGGTCCGTCCCCAAAAAGCTGTGGTGTCGGTGGCAGAAGAAAGAAACGAACAACGGAGAATGACTGATAGATAAAACTAAAGTCTTTGAGCACCATTTCGGATGCGTCGTTGCCTTTGAACACACATGTGACATTGTGCGGTAGCCGTCACCAACTCCCGTTCGATATGTTGCCATTACGTCCGTTGTATAGATTGGTAGCGTGCGCCATGGGTTCAGTACCACACAGAACAGCCCGCAGTACGTCTACAACAGAAATTTCATAATATGTTGTCCATGATATTGCTAAAGAAGAGGTAGCGCAGTGGGTAAGAGTAACGCTTCGCATCTAACACATCACAGGACCAAATTCAGCCTAGATCAACAGACCCCTTCACAAAGAGCAATGCACGTAAAAGAAGGACCTGAAGACGGGTAAACAACCTTCCACTATCTATATTGATATTTGCCAACTGCACACCAAGTGGATCTCTGGTGTGAAGCTGTAAAGTGGAAACTGTTCTTATACTTGGCAGAACAGTCGGGTTCAAGCATTGCAAGGGTTTCAGAACTGGCAACCTTTGAAAATCGAGAATATTTTTCTGCACTTTGCTGCTGCTCCGCGTAATTTCAAAATTTAAACGTTCTCTTAGGAAGGCTGCTACCCTGCCTTGGCACCTTTGTAAATGCACAGCCAGACTGAAGTCAGATAAACGCTTCCCTTCGGTCTAAAGGACAGACTTCTAGAGGGCGATCACAGCTGTAGCACTACCGCGTATAATAATTACCTTGCAAGGATCGCTTCATGCGTTCGATCTCTCCAGTTCGCAGCGTTGCTGTCTGACGCTTTCTCATCTATTATTGTGCTCTCTCGCCTATCCCCGGTGCTCTGTCTCTCATTGTCCTAGCATGGCCGATAGAGCCCTTAATCTAGCGTTTGGACGGATACTTTTCCCTTTCCTTTAGCTTCCAACCCACTTCACCTACCAATACTTTCATTTCCGTGCTCAAGAACCACACCAGCTTGATCCTTAAGGCATGCCTTTAATAATTACCTAATAATTCAAAAATGAACCGCAGGGGTGAATGTGTGTCAATAACGCGGGAACCAAACCTTATAAAGGTTAGCCTCCCAGCCGGAACCCTGTCTCCGCTCAGTCTGATCTCCGCTATACTGTCTTTACTGTGAGCTGATTCCGCTGATCGGGAAGGTACGGTACTTTATCTGCCTATTAATTATGTGATGGATTAGCTGGTCTCGAAGGTCTCGTAGGGTAGGACACATTTGGTCGGATAAATCATGAATTGGTTTCCACCTTTTTCAGGCTTCGAAGAAGGCGAAATTGCCGAAACATTATTATCAACCTCTTGTGCTGTTAAGTCAAATAAATTCATACCTGATATCGAATTGCTATCTCTAATAAGCAACAACAATATATGAATTTGACAGTACTTACTTACTACTGATTAGGAAGTGCTGCCTACACCTAACTTCACCTCCCAAGATCTTTCATGGATATTATTCAATGACCTGGTCGACGCTTCCCACCCCTTCCCCCACTCCAGTGGTAGAACTGATAAAATCGTGACAACCGTGCGGTTGCGTCCATCTCTTGCTCGAACAACGGACGAAAAATGTTCGCATCACACACTTTTGACGGCTGTTCATCGGACTCTGCTGCAAGGCGAGGATTTCGTTGTCTATTCGAACAAACGAACGACCGAATGCCACCACCGACGCCTCCGACGTGCGTTGTAGCCAAAGTGGAACTTTGCAGTAATACACTAGTGTGTTCTTACACTTGATTGCACTTGCACAAGCACATGCGGTCATTACACAGGTGCTATTGCAGAAGATGTGCCGCAAAATGAGTAGACGGTTGTAGTTGCGGAAAACAAGTAGCTTGCCAAAATCTTCCAGGATGCACGAATCACGTCTGAGTCAGAGCAAGAAACACACAAAAAGAGAAGACTAAACGCCCAGAGTAAAGCTAAGGTCTTTCATCACAGTCCATCGACCTAACCGGGTATTGGCACGGGAATTACAAATCTCTGGTCGAAAAACCTCTCGGAGATTCTTGGATGCGTACCAGTCGTGTGAAACTTGAAGGAGGATTCCACGATAGGTAGAAGAGGGAAACTTACCTAATGGAGAGACAGGTGGACTTTCTAAGGGTGCAGATCAACACGCAATTTGCATGGAATGCTATGCCCCGGTGATTTAACGTGGCCTCACCAGCGGCGCTATTCGCTCCTACTGGCGTTGTTATACTCCCCCCCCCACCATACTCTTTCGCTGTCTGAGCCTCTAGCCGTTTGGCAGAGAGAGCGTTAGCGTTGAAGAGGGCACCACGATGAGAGTCGCATCAATGCACAAATCAACGGGCAAGGGAAGGGTCCCATTTCTCAGGGTGACTTCTTCTTTCGGCATCACTGACCATCTCTAGCTAACTCATCAATGGGCTGCCTTTTCATCCTAAAATCCGCCTTTGATAGCTGGAAGAGTCCTTCATGAAAGCTGAAGCTGAGACGAAGTTGACCTTCAAACAGTGATATGCAGTAGAAACTGCTCGAACTGCTATGGTTCCAACTGACTGCTTCTGGGCGGTCTCGAGGACACAAGTGAATCATGTAGGGGGTCCTTTTAACGATTTCTTAATAACCTGTTAGATCTCGAAATTTGGAAAAGTTACAGAAACCTCCTCTCAGACAGTCGATATAGTTGATTCTTTCAAGCTCCAAAGAAGGGATTACGAAGAGATACTATGCATATATTACACACCGCGAGAAGAGGCTCTTGTAGAAGAAACTCACCTTCAAATTTTTCAGCTTAGCATACGAAAAATTACTAATCAAGTATGTTTGGAACATGAAAATCGAAGCTATCCGGCTAACTCGTGCAGTAGTGTTAAAACCGACGCAAGATGGCCTGCCCACTTCCCCTAACCTCAAAGATGCGCCCCAGGGCCTTGCTGCAATGGTAATTTCGCTCAAAAATAAAGGTTACGATTCAAATTGGATTGAAGGGAAGAAAAACGAAAATGTGGAACCTAACGCCCAGCGTCTGTACTGGCAATTCAGTGCTTGCTCCTTCCGCCTCCCTCGCGCTAGAGTTTCACTTCACTGACTGTCCTAACCTGAGTTGTGCCCTCTGATAAGATTAGAATTTGTTGATCTCGTCACCTACACAACTTTGAATTCCAAATAGCTGTAACGAGCATTTCATAAAGCGTGTCTCGCAATGAATCATCAGGATTATCCCGGACCAATTCTCAATGGGGTGGAGTTAAAGAGTTCTATCGGAGCTGGCGAAATAAATGGACTGCGACGAATTTTGCTACAAAAACTTTATGAAGTTTGATGGATCTAAATTTGCCATAGCTCAAAAGCATTGCAACGTTCCTGTGTTTCTCCTGCAACAAAGCTCTGCAGTAGTAGAGCGCTCAGCCAATTGCTGCTGTCAGAACGGGTCCCGACAGGAAAAGCTATGATGATTAATGATATGATCCACTCACACGTGGATCACATTCTGCTGATATCGTCGCGAAAGCGAGTCGAGCACGGTGGCCGCGTTCGGTTCCGTGAGATGGCAGAGATCCGAGGAGAGCGAGTTCAACGACGGCGCTTCGCATTCCTCTCGTGGTACTCGCTTCTGTAAAGGAAGCCGTTTCTGAAAATGCACGTATCTTCAAAGCCTACTCACCCATTTATTCAGAAAAAATAGTACCGTGACAGGTAATGATATTATTGTCAGAATATTCAAATTCTGCAGTCCTCAATATTTATTGGATGGAGAGAAATTGCTGTTGGATTGTGTTTCAGTCGAAGGTTAAAAGCCGTACTTTGGCTGTGCACCTACTTAACCTGTGCTGTTCAGACTTCAAAAAGTCCTAAAGAAAAGCATGGGAATTTATCAGCTCTAGCCGTGCCACGCAGTCTAACCTCTTGAAATTTTGCAAAATAGAAGTAAGCTTTATGGAACCAGGGTGATACCCTTCACTGGGGGAGCCCAGCGTAGTGCAGGATTTCAATCTTACCAATCTCAGCGAGCAGAGCAGCAGGAGTACCACGCCCTTGGCCGATAGTTCCACCAGCCAAACTACGTTAGCGAAAGAGAAAACATGTTGACTAGCATGATACATAATAGTAGGTAAACGTTATGAAAATCAGGCATCATATGCCAGCCAGAATTGAGAGTAGTACAATAGTAGCTCCCGACGCAACACATAGCTAAGGGCCGTAGTGGGACGAGAAGAACCAGTACACAGCTAAATATAATATCTTCATGGATTTGAGTGAATGGCGATTGTGAGGTTCTATGGAACTTTTTAGAAGAAATCTATTTTATCTCTAACGTCACAGTAGCGCTCAAAAGTCTTCGACGAAATTTTATTTCGACTGCAACTTTTTCTCTGCTAAACCAAAACAGTTCCAATTTCGATAGCTTCATAAGGCATGTCTTTTTCCACCAAACGAGCACAATAAGTGAGATGGGAGAACGAGCTAACAAAAAAATCACTCAAAAGGAATTTTCGGGTAATGATCATAATGCAAGTAATGTATTATAGTACTTCATATTATAGTAAAAAGCTTACAATTCATCGGAGCAGCGGCACCGCATGGATGATAAGAAACATTATGCAGATCAGTTCATTGTTAATAACTTTCTGGATAAAACCTCAGCTAAACCTAAATATGGAATTACGAACAAAAAATGCACTGTCTGTTGGGACAGCCTCGCAAAAAAAAGCGTCGCGCCTCTACTGTGAAAGACTAGTTTCGACATGGTGTGCTTCTAACGAGGGGACCGATCCAGCACATGTCCTGAGCGTCATCAAACACTACGAAAACGAGTAAAGAAACCTTTTGTAGAAAAAAGACCTAGGAATGTGGAGGGGAAATCGTCAAAAAATTCTGAACAGAAGTTCAGGTGGTTGTCCCAATACAGCGAGTTCATTATGTGACTCCATACCTGGGCACTATTAAGGGCTTCGGAAGTTTATGAACAGAGTGTTGGATCTGCTTAGTGTTACTGTCATGCGGTGGAATGTTGAATTGTTGTTGAATTGTAAGCTTTTTACAATAGTATGAAATCTTGTTGAAATTGGTTTCTAGTGAAATGACCTTTTCATTGTTAGGTCTTTCTTCCACCCAACACTAAGAGTTTTGAGCATTACTGCAGTCATTTTGTTATTGTAATAAAACTCTCCGGCTTCGACAGTGTGTCACTTAGCTTTGCAGGGGGTAATACGTTGAGCTAAATACTACTAAACCACTACAATTGGCCTACAATTGCGCAGTGTTTTCTGACTTACATCGTACTCCAGAAAATGTCTTATACTGATTTGTTGCCGAAAACAAGCCAAAGGTCAAGATCAGGTGACGCGAGGGTTGCGTGGTAGTGTTTTGCAAAACTGAGCCATCTCTCTATTACAACTCTTCATCTAGCCGGTATGAGGCGATTTGGGGGTTGCTATGAGACCACGGCCTTGACGAACGCTAAAAAAATCTTGGTCAGGCGAACCACTTCACTGGGACCTTAGCAAGGTTTGGATTACGTTCGTTTTATTTTTGAAGGAGCTTGAATTTTTTTTTCCAGCCATACCCTCTTTACCCTCCTCCTTTCCTCGACGCACTTATAAATTTTTGGGGCAATTGGAGAGTTAAAGGCAAAGTTCGGGCTCAGACCCACTTAATGAGCCTTTACGGTGGCTAGAAGCGCTAGGTACGCAAGTGTAGAGGTCGCGTCACTTCCCTACTTCGAAAAGCGTTATTTAGACGCTAGGCGCTAAGAACTTTGACACGCTCCACCTGTTGCGACACGCTCCGCCCACCGCTCGATATCTTGTCTGCGTCGCAATGTTGATCTGCTATGCTCTCTCTACTTAGACTTCTCTAGCGCTCTCCGCGCTCACATTATCTCTCATCTCCCTGCCGGCCTTTTGAACTTCTCCGCAGCGTAGAGGAAATGCTCGTATTTCCTTAGCATTT